GCAACTGACGGCGGTGGAGTTGAGATATTGGAAAGCACATAACTACCCTGAGCAGTCCAGCCAGCACGCTGAGGTGAATACCCGCATGTTGTATTTGCCGACTGCCTGCGTCGCTCATCCGCTTGACCGGATTGACTGCGACTTCAGAGACATCAGCTACCTATACCCGATTGACGGCCACCAGTCAAGCAGAAGTTCAGCTGCAGTGTCGGTGGTGCTGCGCTTGAATTTCCCCAGGGATCCCGAAGCAGGTGCGTGGTGGGTGTAAGGAAGGGACTCGAGGCAAATGAACGACGAAAGCCTCATATCAGTTTATACCATCTCATACGCGGGTAGTCATCGGATCCTGCGGTGGGCCTGCAGATGGTGTTTGCGTACCGACGGAAAACACGCTTGCAGGACGGCGGAGGGTCGACGACCTGAGTGGCGAAAGGATGCCCCACGGCGTGCTAGAGTAGGATGTGCTGAAGTTGCTACTGTCTACGGTTTCAACTGACCAAGAAAACTTGCGTCTAAAACAATGAGGCTCGCGTCGGTAAGCACGTGATACGCAATCCGCACACCCCAGTTTCTACCGGAACAGAGGGTAGTCCCTACAAAGAAGAACCCTTACTTATACGAGAGACCCCGCAATAAAGAGACCTTTCTGAGCAACTCACAGAAGCAGGCCGAGGCCACCCAATGCTGCGCGAGAGCGCGGCATGTGCTGGCACAAGACGTTCAGCCCCCTATATGCTGTTTGCCTGGGGCTGGTCTCTAATGATGGAATCCTACCAGGTAAACGTGCGTGTAGCGGTCATGTACAGGGAGTAGATATTACTGAAAAAACAGTGCGGTAAAACAACACCACCAAGACCTGACTATTCAAAGAACTATAGGAGATAAACTCTATTCGGAGGTAAGATTCTGAAATGGCTCCATTGCTTGTCGTGGTTGCTGGCTGGGGCGGCCAAGATTGGGGCGCTGCCGTCAACACTCATTTTAGGGTATCTCTTTTGTGTCAGTATTGGAATTATATGTGTTGATGTCAAATTGGCTCGATACTCTCCATCCGCAGCTCAAAAGACACCTGAGCAGCTCCCGCACACGATCGAAAGGGCACATGCACCGCCCTTCTGTGCGACCTGCTTTGTTTTTCCGGTGCGCTAGCATCCAATAGCACACCCGAGTGCAACAGTGGCGAGAGGGACGCCTGCTACTTCAGGAATCTACAAGAACTATGTCACAAGCGTAGATGGAGCAAGGCAGGTTGCAAAACACGACACGAGGTGGCCCTCTGCGCATTTGGCACTGTGGGTGTCAAGGAGTTTGTGGGCAGGTAGAGTCCCCGAGCGGCTGACGCGAATCGAACTTCCTTGGCATCCCACTTATTTTGTAACTAGGAAACATACTTGATGACGGGCACTGAGGGAACTACCGTGCTAACTCAAAGCCTGTAGTTTATGGACATGTGCATGAAAGTGACGCTGCAAGCATCCATTTTGGATGTTGCACGTCACTGGCCAGAACGGCTTGCGGCTTGCGGCTACGTACATTGGGCGGGGCAAAAGCACATTTATTGCTATTCGCTCGCTACAGCACCATATCATCGTTTATCTCAAATGGTTGCGCATGGCAAAGACATAAGCTCATGTTCCCCTTCGTGCATGCGACATGCTTTCACCTCGTCCAGGCAAGCTTGAAATTGCCCGTACTGCGACACCTTTGGTCCATAGTGGCGAAGTCGAGATGACAAACCCTGCGCAAGAAGGCTGATAAGATGGGAATGCTGCTACGGTGGTGGATCCGCCGCTGTTTAAGACCAACCTACAGCTCACAGCGGCCGTTTTGGCACGGCGGAAGAGCTATACCCTACCCGCTTCAAAAAGAAGACTCATTGAAAAACCCAGTTTCGGATTTTCTTCGGCCAAGGCCCACTGGTTTGGGCCATCTGAAAGCCTCAATGTGATTGCATGCACTTCGATGTCCTGCACTCCGACAGGCACTCCGGCCTAAGTTACAGTTGCTCTGCCCTGCTTTCACAAACCAGCACAGAGCCGCTCTGTTCCTGCCGGGGTTTTGGCGGTTTCGGTGTAGAGCATGCTATTTTTTTGTAGTACGGAGACCTAAGAGATGGTGGTACGAAAGATTTAGGCTTCTATATTAGCGAAAGAGGCACTCGGCTTTCCAGGGAATTGAATTTTCGCTGACCGCGAGAAGAAGTGACGGTTTCCTGGTGTTTGTGCCACATTAAGAACATGTATGTATACTCGCAAACGGCACCAGTGATACGATGTCTGATGATGCACAACTAAGGCAGCGATACATACGGCTACCGTGCGAGTCTCTTATGTACCGGCAAGTACTGGTAGATCTCTCGCAACAAGTGAGCGTAAAGCGTGAAGTCAAACTACATGTAAAATGCTGCTCACATACTGGCAGGTTTCAAGAGAACAGGTATGTCGTTGTCTCGTCCTCATCAGCTTCGTTGTCATTCCTCGTCAACATAAACACATCATGATTGTCATGATCGGCGTCGTATCAGTACCACTGTAACACAGTGCACGACTGGAGCAATGGAAAGACTGTGAATAATCGTAGCCCCGCCAGCTTAGGCAGCACAAATGATCTTGACGTTGACGGTGATGATACGGCTGCTGATGATGATGATGATGTTATTAGTTGGTTGGCTCCGGTGCCACAAACGAGGCCGGCCCTTCTGCGATCTCAGCCCGAAACCATCATCAAGGCTGTGAGATCAGCCCAACACGTCAGGACCCTCGATCCCAAAGTTGGCAGGACCACCTGCAACTCCACGAATCCGGCCAGCTTGGGTTGCAATCCGTCTTGCAAGAAGCTCTTCCCTCACCGAGGTACTCAGCTGGGTGTGCCATCTCAGGACAGGCAAAGGACAATTTGCACAGGCGCTCCACACTCGCACCGGCAGGACGTTCATGGAGCCGATAACGGTGATAATGGAGAAGAGTATTATCTTTTCGACTATAGTCTCGTGTTGGGCGATCATCCTAAAACTGAAAACCATGCTACTAGGTCCTAAACCCTACACCCAACACCCTAAACCCTAAGAAGAAATCCTCAGCGCCACGGCCCGGCCTGTGCCCCACGTGGGACGATGACGTGGTTCACCTGGGTTGCTGCTCAGGAACTTAAATGACTATAATAAGGAACCCCCATTCTGTACTATATGTCCCCGTTATGTAGGGTTTAAGGATTGGGGCTTAGGGACTCCTATCTATCTATCTATCTATGTGTGTATATATATATATCCCATTATGGCAACGTAAATTGAGTTTCTTAACAGCAACCCAGTCACATGAGTGACTCCCTCCGAGCTTTGAGTCGGAGCGGGGCTGCCGTCGGCTTCCTGGCGCTGCCCCAAGAGCAGTATACTTATGATAATAATTATTAATACTTGACTATGCTATTCTATATCATAGTAATTCTGTTATGCTAGGTTATATAATGCTGTATGATCGCATACCATGTGATATCGAATTATGTTGTAAGTTGCGCCGGTATGAGAAGTGCATCATGTACTACAACCAGGAGTAAGGTTCGCAGAAGGAAAATGCTTTGGACGATTATGGCTAGCGAGCAGGCGCAGCCATGGTGAGGAGTTGAAGACAAGATCGATCAGAGTGATATGAGCTTCAAAACTCCAAAACTACGATTTTAACCATTGCTTGTGGTGACACTATGCTTGCTGTCGCTGAGACAACTGACTGTTCACGACTACCGTGCGAATGTTCATGTCATCCGTCTTGTCTTGTTAGCAGCGCTTATTCTTGCAGTTGCTGCATCTGTTGAAAGTTTACTAGCACGACTTTACTTGTCGACTTTGCGACTATCAACATTGCTGCTCTCGGTACAGCCCACTGCAAACACTAGTGCGTGTTTTGGTCCTAGTGTTACTGCAACTGTCGGCATGTATGCATATGTACTGCGGTACGTAGGTTTGCTGTGTGTGTGTGTGTAAAGGTACGTCTGTGTCTGCGTCAAGGTACTCTCCCATGGGAATGCTTGTTGCTGCCACTTGTTCTTGGATCCTTCTTCCTTCTAGCGCTACACGTGCGACCCTGGTTGACGCTATGGTGTTACTTCCGTTGGTGTTGCCAGCGCTACTGCCTGCACCACCACCAGGACCATCACGACCACAACATCCATGATGCTGCTGCTGCTGCTGATTACAATGAATATAATCGTTGAGCAATACGTCAACATCAGCCAGGTTCTGAGTGTGTAAGCATGAAACATCTGCTTGTGCAGTCAACATAAAATCTTGGCTGCGCGCCAACTAGCTCACACATGATGCGCGTCAAGTCTCTACCAGTGTAGACATACAGCCGTTTTAGCTGACAGTTAATCGACACTGAAGGGTCTTCTATCTATGTATCTCGTTGCTGTGAGCGGTGATATGTAACAGGCGAAAATTCAAACAAACAAATACTAACTTAACTATACACTAATGTAGAATACGAAAACGAGCAGATACGGTGCAAACATTGAGCAGCAAACACATTGAAATCAATGGGTAGATGAGTTTAGACCTAGTTAAATAGCTTCATTCATAAGTTTATAACACGCAAAACAACATGGCGAACGAAGCATTCACTGGCATTTTCCGGCTCGTGACATATTGCCCATTGCACCGGTTTAGTAGCGGAATACTGGTGATGATACAGATCTAAGCATACCGGTGTATTTTACAATGATGGTCTGGGTGGGGACACGGCATCTCGTAGATAAATCCAGCTTTGACCTGAATACTTTAGAAAAGATGCATGTTTGCGCACCTGGGTATGTGCACGCACGCATACCATTTTGATATGTACCTACGTCCGTGTATAGCAGGATGGTGGTGACAATGGTGGCGATCATACGCACTGAAACTTCGTCCTTTGGGGAGGGAAAGGGGAGTAAAGGGAAGCGATGCTGTACTCTGTAGCGAGGAGGCGGAGAGGGCATGAATGACGTGCACAAGGTAAGTGGTGTGGATGTGCCTGTGGTGCAGGTGGTGGAGCAGCATCCGCGAATCCTGGCGAATGCAGCTGCTCCTTGGCATGCCCAGCTTCAGAGATACATAAAGACAGAAGGAAGCGAGAACACGACCGGACTCGGTGACCTCATCTCAGGCGCAGGCTGTTTCATGAGCCTTGTGGATGATATGCGGGGGCACGGCCAGCGGCTTGTGGGAGCCCTCGGCAAGGCCAAGGCTGGCATCACTGCTGCCTGTGACATACGGTTGATGATACTAAAACCTGCATTACCCATAATAAGGAATATCCCATAGTTCCCATTGTATAGGGTCCTTAAGGTAATGCAGGATTAAGATCATCAACAGTATGGCACATGGGTCTCGGAAACTGGCCTGTGACTTTGCCCGAGACGGCACGGAGGGTACTGCAGCGAAGCCGCCGTGTGCAAGCAAAGACTGTTGTCACTTCGATCTTCCTGCTACGACCTGTCTATCTGTCCTTTACCTGATTTACAAAAGTTCTGTCCTTGACTCGACCCGTCGAATTGGGAGTCGAACTGCAGTTCCTGAGACGAAACAAAGGCTTTGGATTCTTTGGATCTGCAACACAGCTGCGTTCGATGCTGCGGTTGGGAACCACAGTAAGTTCGATCTGGAAGTGTGAAACACTCAGAAAGTCCAACCGCAACAGAATGAACTCGCGCTGCCCAGTGTCGCACAGCTTGAGCAGCCCTGCTTCAAGCTTTCGCAGTGACACCTGCACGTGGTCGGGTGCCCTCCTCAGCCTGTACTTGGTAAAGAATTGCATGACCCCTTCATGTGACCCAGACGACTAATATCAACAGTCCAACCTCCACGTGGGCCATGAAGGCACCGAGTGTCTTGGACAGCCATTGATGATCATGCTGCATCTTTGCCTGCAGCTTGCACGGAGCATGCCCTGACAGATCTACACGGCCCACGAACCGTTTTCAACTGGAGTTGCTGAATCGCTTTGGAGCCCCGCCCCAAGCTTACTGAAATAAGATGGGTTGACAATCTCAACAACTATCTGAACACTGTTCAAAGAAGTACTAAGCAGAAGGGAAACTATGAGCAGCAAGAACCGCACCATAAAACGACAACATAAGTAATCAGTTCAGGCCACCAGGTCGAGTGCCCTTGCAGGGCCCCGCAGCCGCAGGCCTCAATGAATCGGCCGAGGGAGCAATTTGGGGGAGCTTGGTCATTCTACTGGTAGGGCTTTGAAACATTCCTGAGCGCTGTTTCTGCATGCTGCATTACAGTTCATGCCATAGACTGAGCCAGGCAACATCCCAACAGGAACCTCAGCTCTTCACAGAGCAAGAGATGGGCAAGAGATGGGCAAGACCATCCACTCTGGCACCGGGAGATGGAACAACGAGTGTCATGGGCTTGCACACCAAGCAGCTCCTCAATCTCTATGGCAGCGCCGCCATCAGTGTCAAGCCTACCGAGAAGAACCCGGCAAGCCGGTTCAACACAGTCGCACTGTCTGCAGACCAGGCACAGCTTGAAGAAGGTCCACCTTGGTCCATGCGCTTGCACGCGCTTGTCTCGGTGCTCTGTCGCCGAAGCTTCGCCGACACAGCGGAGCTCAGGCCGACGCGCGTCAGACACGTCCAACTCCAAGGCCTCGAAGTAGGTCTGGACCTCGGTCTGCAAGACTCGGTCTTTCTTTTCCTGAATCCTTGATACAAGAGCCCGGGTAAAGAACTTCCAAAATGGGGAACTCATGCTAGAGTTGTCAGTGTGCCGATTTCTTGTGCATGTTCTCCTCCAGCTCCACCAAGCTGATGTAGCCCGACATATCGGCATCCAGGTTGGAGAAGAGGGACCTTACCTTCCGTATGTGAGCCTCGGTAGTCGGCCGTCGTGTGAGCTAAAGGAAAAACGGAACTGCTCCGGGGCGAGAGGGGCATTGGTTCCGAGACGATCGGGGATTCCTGCCGGTATGCAGCAACCATAACGGGCTTCTTGCATGACAACAGCATCGAAATTGACCGACTGCGGGCGTGTGCGACCGAGTACTACCTCAACAAAGCAATCTGCAGAAGCCAGGATCAAGAAGTACGTCTCGGCAAAAGAAACTGCAAAGGGCAATGACATTGAGCTTGGATCTGCAGTGGTGTGATGGACAACACGGTCTTTCTGAAAGCGACACTGACATCTGTGGTTCAACAGAACGTGAACACGTAAGTGTTTGGACGTCCGTACGGATCTTTCCGGCTGAAACAACAGTCTTCTACATGGAAGCTATGTCCGGGACCCAAACACTGTGAACTCTTATTTCCGGTTGATGCTGTTCAACTGACACATTAAGATGAAGATGCCCTGCGAGCGAGATGCCTCCTTGTTGTGAATGATGTTCTGCATGATCATCTCCTGCCCCAATGACAGACATTCACTGAATTGAATCAGGTCTGATGTGCACTTGCACCGTGACTGCGTTCATGCAAACTTGAACTCAAAACTTCTGAGTTCAAGGCATGGTCGCTTTGGGCGCTTTCTATAGCACTTTGGCAGAAAACGCCTGTCACCTGAATTGCGCATCACAACATGCAAGTTTCAACTATAAACATGTCACGCACCCGACCACGCGAGCGAAAGATCACACACAGATCTGAACACCTTCTCAATGTCACGGTCAAAGGCAATGACGCGGACATGCAATGTACATGTACTTTTGCACAAACTTGTTCGCGCATGTCGTGCTCCAGATGCCTGAGCACCCGGCCACATTAAGCACAGCGAAGTAGCAAAAACTTATATAGAACAGGAAGAGGAAAGCCTCGGATTTGCAGGATTGTGTCCACTCATGGAAAACATGCATTCAAACTACTTACCTGCCTTCCTCCACTGCTCTCAACTACAACATACAATGAACGACCCTGTGACCGACCCATCAGAACCACGGAATTAGCAGGACAAAACCAGTCGATGGCAATTGGCAACATGAGTGCTGTTGGATATTCTATTGTCCTTGCTGCAGCATGTTGGTCGTCGCCACGTATTGCCATCCGATATTTCCCCATTCGATTCCTACGCATGGTGAAAAAACGCTTGGGTTCTTTTGAAATTGGCGGACGAATTGAACACGCCTGCTGCAATACTTTGAGCCTGAACATGACAAACACGGACGGAAACGCACGCAATCTCTTCGGCTGGTATGATGCTACACGTGGCATCCCAAACACGCATTGCAGTTTCGGAATGTTTAAAACAACAATGCCCTTCGTCCCAAGTCTGTCAACTGAAATCGTACAGCATGCTCGAAACTGCCCCAACTGCATAGTGAGTGAGTGAGCGAGTGAGTGGGTGTGTGAGTGAGTGAGTGAATGGGTGAGTGAGCAAGCGACTCTCCTGCACGGGGTGGGACGTGCAGGAAGCCTTGTAAACGGCGCCGATCCTTCCCGGCTTCCCATTGGGCTCCGCAAGCGTCCTTGTCCCCTCCACTTGGAGTTCAAGAGCGCTTGCTTGCAGACGCAAGGAACAGCAACTAGGCAGGCCCGCCACCGGCTAACCGGCATAAGGGCAAGATAGCGTGCCATCCTCGCGGAAGTTCTTGCGACAAGGGCTCTTCCCCCGAGAGTCTCCCATCACGGTACCAAGCCCAACAAGCAAGTCGCTTTTGCGTTGGGTTTTGCCCGGCCAGTGTTGGCGAGCACGCTTCACTGTAGATCCCTCATGATCCCTCTACAGATACTAGGTGCATAACGCGACCCGTGCGGTACTCACTCAGTCACCACCTTTTCTGGAAAAGGGGGAATGGCAAAGCTCCATCCATCCCCCACAAGCGGGTCCCTCGACAGTGTACCGTCGGACTGAACAGGTGAAGGCAAGCTGTGACCAACACCCGTCTCAGACGAGGGGGCCCCACTGCATGGTGCCTGGTGGTTCTTGGTGCTACACAATCGTTTGGCAGCCAACACAATACTCGTGCCTCACTTGAGATCTATTGATGCCATAAATAAAACGCAACAGCAGCCACGCTTGAAACCACCTCCGTTAGCGTCGTCGTCTCATTTGCTTATATGTCTGGTCCACGCCTGTTACAAGCGAGTTCCGTTTTGCTCTCTGCAGGCGGACTTGCTGCCGGAGTTGGCAGTAGATTGTCGACACGATACTTCGCCCATGCGGTCCGAACGCTTGCAGCTGGTTCTGGATAACTTTTGTCGGCAACCCATGATGCAAGCTCCCTTTCCGATAACACAGCGTGTCCAGGCGCGGCCTGTTCCGGGGAAGCCGCTGTCTCGCAGTTGCCAGTCGTCAAGCTGACATGTACTCCGGGATGCCAGCGGCATCTCCCGAACTCTGGCGATGCCGTGCATCTGATGCTATAGGGCGCAGAGGTTCAGCCGTCGCCCAGCCCGTGTTGGCTTCCCAGCCCGGCTGCAGCTGAATGAGATTTCGGCTGCGTGGCAATTCTGAAAAGCTGTGTGCGACAAAACAGGGATGGCGTGTGCCGAAGCTTCGAATGGCTTCGTCATCCCAACAGCCGTGGCACGTGTGAACGCTAGCTGTTGAAATGCTGCTGATTGCTGTACACATGTCGAGAGTGTCCCCACTTGTCCAGCAGATTCCATCGGCGTTCCACAGGCATGCTGGCCGAGACGCAAAGCGCCCAAATTCAAAAGTGTTGTCGCAGGTCGTTGGGGCGCGCTTCCAGTTGGAGTAGTACAAACATGGCGCAAGGGTTCACTGATCCTGACGCATCTGCTCTGCTGCCTCAGCGAACTGACGTGACACATACGCCACTGTGGCCGAATCAAAGGGAAATCGAAGCCATGCCCTTCACCTAAAACATAAAAAGGTGAAACAAAGGTAAAGAAAAGGTATCTGAGAAAGGTGAAAAAAGGTAACACAGCAAAAGAAACCTAGCCCAAACCCGGCTGATGCCCATGATGTTAGTTTCTGGTGGGGGCTGGTTGCCTAAGCTCTTCGATTTGTGCCTGACTCTCATGATGCTCGTTTCTTGTGGGGCTGGTTGCTTACGCTCTTCGATTTGTGGTGGCTGTGGCCAACAACATGCAGAGTCTCAAACACTTCTCAGGCAGACCCTCCCTCCCTGCCTCCCTCCCTCGCCCCGCCTGCCCGCCCGCCAGCCCGGCGCGGGCTTCCCGCGCGCCCGCCTGC